ACAAGGAGCATGCGTCCCCCGGCACCTCTCTCTGCCTGCCTCTCTGCCTACTTGTGATCTCTCTCTCTCTGTCAAATAAATAAAATCTTAAAAAAAAAAATTAGCAGGTACTTTGTAACTTTTGTTCAGTGAGTGATTTAATTGGCAATCATTGGAAAGGCAAGTTAGAAAAGAGAGATAAGGGTTTGCAAGACCCGAAGATGTTGATTAAAAAATAAGCAAAATTGGGGGTTCCTGGGTGGTGATGTCTTGGTTTTGGCTGAGGTCGTGATCTCAGGGTCATGAGATGGAGCCTTGTGTCAGGCTCCACACTCGGGGTGTCTGCTTAGGACTTTTTCTTCCTCTCCCTCTCTTTCTGCCCCACCACCGCCTCTTTCTCTCTCTCCTTCTCTCAAATAAATAAATAAATAAATCTTAAAAGAAAATAAGCACAACTGAATTGGTCTGAGAAATAAGGAGCTTAGAAATTGTCACTCCATCCCAACAACTAAAAAGCTGAATAAACTGAAAAATAAGCAATTCTCCTTAGATATTTCAGAGAGTGAGTTCATGGACAAACCACTGCCTCTAAAACTGGACAGACAGACAGGCAGATACAGAGAATTACAACTTTCCAGAGCAGAAACTTCCACAGAAACCAGTCCTGGGGTTGGGAAACCTGAGCTGTGATTAGTGAATTGCTTGGAGGTTTAGTGTGGATATGACTCTGATAAGAACTCTAAGTGGGGAAAAGCCCCGCAAAACAAAAACAAACTCCAAGGGGACCCAGCCTTAGGGGGCCTCTATACATTTGTGAGTTTTAGCTCCAGGGGTTCTACCAGGTCCTCATAGTTAATAGTGGAGAAAAATTTCCTCATGCCTCTAGCAGGAGAAAGGGAAACATAACCATTTATCTATACAAGAACAACTCAAGATGCTGATGGAAAGTATCGATAAGCAAAAGAACGGGAGAAAGTCTCCTTATTCATGCATAAAAAGATTCAATATGGTCAAGATGCAGGTTCTTCACAAATTGGGTCTGTAGATTCAAGACAATCCCAGTCAAAATCTCATCAAGTTAATATATGGGTATCAGCAAACTGATTCTAAATTTACTTGAAAGAAGAAGACCAACGACAGCCAACATATTAAAGGAGAGGAACAAAGTCCAAACACAGATAATACTCCTTGTATGAAAGGAAAGGCATTCAGGAACCAGTAGTTGGGAAGATGAAATAGCCTGGAGATGCCCTCTTTTCTCTTTCAAAGATAAGTTTATAGAAATAATAAATAATAGATAAATTAACAGAGATATCAGAATGAGACACGTTTGTTCCCGAGGGTGCAAAATTTAAGGAGTCACTCACTTACAGAGTCACTCACTCACAGACTTACAGAGTCTGTTTACAGAAAACAAAATCTAGATACAGATGGCCAGGTTTGTCATGACAAATTTGCAACCATCTGTCCAGCAAATCAATTTTTATTTTGTACTTATAGATTTTCAGTTAAATTTCCAAACTCTGTTACAATTTCACTTTCCTCATTTACATTGTTTATTCATCCAAACGTGTTTATTGAGTTCCTACCTAATGTGTCATGGGCTAGGCAATTGATTATATATTGGTGAAGAAAACAGAAAAGCGGACTGCCCTTTTGGAGTTAATGATAAGTGAGAGATCAAGAGACAATTAACATGCACATAACTAAGTTAATAAGGACTTATCATTGTGGTAAGGACAATAAAAGAAACAAACACGATGCAGGAATGTCTCTTATTACTGGTTCATGTTAGAGAAAATAATGATCATCTCCAAGACCTAAGATATGGTGGGGGATCAACCATATAGAAAAACTTTGGGAATGCAGTGTGGTTGAGGAAAATTCCTGCCTGAAGTCCCAAAATATTTCTTTGAATGTTAAATATTAAAGTTAAAAATGAAATAAAAAATAGGAAGATATTTTTTCAAGCATGTAGAATAAAAACAAACTACATTTGGTCATACCACAAAGATACTACTAATGAAGTTATTTCTTTCTTTCTAGTTTTGTCCCATGCCAGCTTTAGTAAAATTCATATTACTCCTTGATTACTCTTCTTCTGCTCTTGTCTTTCTTCTTTCTCTTCCTTCTCCTACTCTTCCTTTTTATTCTTACATATTTAAGATTGATCTAATTTTAATTTCTTCTCATTTAAAGCTACTCTTGAAGGGCCATCTGGGTGGCTCAGTTGTTGAGTTTCGGCTCAGGTCATGATCTTTGCATTCCTGGGATCCAGCCCAGAAATGGGCTCTGTGTTCAGCAGGGAGTCTGTTTGAAAATTCTCTGCCTCTGCCCATCCCCCCCCCCCTTTCTCTCTCTCTCTCTCTCTCTCTCTCTCACACACACACACACACACACACACTCTTTCTTTCTAAAATAAACAAATCTTTAAAAACATAAAGCTACTCTTGGATATTTTAAGTTTTTGTTGCTGTTGTGAATGAGGTCTGGTCTCTATGCTCCTTTTCATAATCTACGTAGTCTTGATGTTTCACTGTAGAGAAATTTTAAACATAGAGAAAATTCTAAGGAGTAAATAAAAATCTCTCACAATATGTTATCTGGTTAATATTTGCAGCATATTTCAGGTTTATGTTTATATTTATAAAATCAAGCATTTTTGTTGGTCATATGTAATGATTACATTTTGTAACTATCATTTACTTATGTAAAAGAAATTATTGAGTTTTTCTATATCTAGCTTGCATATACCATTATCCATTGTATCTAATTACTAACACTTTTAATCAAATGCTTTATCTTCATCTATTGAAATAATTCTTATTTTCATATTTCACCAATTGATGAATAAGAGTAGATTTATATATTTTTTTGGAACAGGAATGCCTGTGTGTTCCTGGAACAGAATTTATCTATTCATGGTATGTTACTTCTATTTATTTTGTGTCAATTTACGTACATACAATACAAAATTTACTACAACGGCTCATTCCATATGCCTTATATATCAAAATTCTTCCTCTACTTATGAGAAAATCCTCTGGTCGAAAATAATAATTCTTCCATTTTCATCACTTTCTTTCAAGGATTGTTATTTCTTTGACTTTTCCATATCTCACTCTGAAGTCCACTTACACGACATTAAAAACGTAAATTTATACTTTTAGCCATTTTAATAACAGAATTGTATAGAATTCACTATTATGAAGAGTGGTGTGCTAGAAAATGTTTATCTGTTGATTCTTCAGAACAGCAACAACAGAAAGAAGCCATAATTTTTAACATTCCTTTGCTTCCATGGTGCAAATACTCCCTCCGTGGCTTGTTTCAGGCTACCAATATGACATCACAACACAGATTTGAGACTTTCAGTAAGCTGTAGAATCCAGCTGTAGCACACTAATGGAACTGATGGTGCAGACATTAGTCATTGAGATGGCTGAAAATAAGAAAAGTCTTATAGTCTTAATATCTATAAATGAAAATGGCCTCATGCAATAAGATAGGATTGTCCATATTTATATGAATAATTCAAGAAGGTTTTGAAGGCTTGCCCACTCAACATATTGCAGTAAAAAAGTACTGGAACCAGAGCGGAAGCCCTAGACATCAGTTTAAGGCTAGTAGTTAAAAATCTGAGCAAGCAACCTAATTTTCTGGTCTTCATGGTCTCCATATTAAAGAGAGAGAGAGAGGGAAAAAGAGAGAGATTGTATGTGTGTACGTGTAAGTGTGTGTGTGTGTGTGTGTGTATGTGTATATATACGTATGTGTGTGTATTTAAGTCCAAGTGTCTGTGAATGAGACATAAACATCTTCACTCCTTCATAAACTGTACCAATTAAGCATTTCCCAACTGTTACAGAGATTATAACTGCCTTTCAAGATCATTCTCAGGTCCCTAAGACCTTTATCAAGCCTTTTCTGACTATATTAAATTTTCATCTTTATTCATTTTCTTCTTTTTAATTCCTATATTCACTTTCCCTATTATACAATGCAGCATGTGTGTATGTATCATTTGCATTAGTCACAGCTTCAATATGTTCTGATCTTTCCTTTTCAGATAGATTTAAAGCCTTTACTGTTTTGAATCATAAAGCCTGCAAATATTTATCATATTGCCACACATATAACAGTTGTCCAATTAGCAACTGTTCACTGTGTACGATAATAAAATAGAACAGTAAACTTGAAAGAGTAAGAAAGTAAAAACAAATTTCTGTTCAATGTCAGCTTAGACCTGTGGTGGTATTTTTGAACTTGAATTATTACCCTGTTTATTACTAATTACTTATTGCAACAGTGTCTGACAAATTATTATACTTATCATTTATTAAAAGCTTCCTACATTGCCAAGAACACTACTAGGAGCTTTTACTATCTTTTTCATCCTTACACTAATTCCAATAAGATAGGTCATTTCATCCCTTACTTTTGAAACAAGGAAGTTATACTTTAGAGATACTACCATGTTCAAGGTTATAAAGCTTAAATGATAGATCCAGGAATCAAATCCAGGTGTGTCTGACTCCAAAGCCCATGTCTTAAAGTACTACATCACAAGCAGAAAAAGTGTGTTCCAGATGTTCACATTGAAATTAAGAATATATTCAAATTTATAAAAAAGAGAAATGAATTGCTCTGCATCTAAATTATACTAATGATTGGCCATATAGGAAATCATAAGAGAGCTACTTAAATTTAAACTTACCCTAGAAAGAACTCGAATTCTAGCCACCAGACTCAATCAGCCATTAAGAATGCCAGGTGATGTGCCCATAAAAATGATTCATGAACCCTCTTTCTGGAAACAGCATTCCATTGGGGCAAATCAAAGCCATGAGCTACTGAGGACACTCTCTACGTGGACCAAAAACCACTGAGGTTTACTTTTATTTTTTGATTGTGATTTTAAAAGGCACTTGGCAAACGTTGCAGGAAGTTCTGTACAAGAAGGCAAACAATAGCTCCTTTCTGCCCGTGGACGCCGCCGAGTAAGCATCGTTAAAGTCTCCCCTCCCACCGCCGTCATGTCTAAGTCAGAGTCTCCTAAAGAGCCTGAACAGCTGCGGAAGCTCTTCATCGGAGGTCTGAGCTTTGAAACAACCGATGAGAGTCTGAGGAGCCATTTTGAGCAATGGGGAAAACTTCCGGACTGTGTGGTAATTAGAGATCCAAACACCAAGTGCTCCAGAGGCTTTGGGTTTGTCACATATGCCCCTGTGGAGGAGGTGGATGCAGCCATGAATGCAAGGCCACACAAGGTGGATGGAAGAGTTGTGGAACCAAAGAGGGCTGTCTCAAGAGAAGATTCTCAAAGACCTGGTGCCCACTTAACTGTGAAAAAGATTTTTGTTGGTGGCATTAAAGAAGACACTGAAGAACATCATCTAAGAGATTATTTCGAACAGTATGGGAAAATCGAAGTGATTGAGATCATGACTGACCGAGGCAGTGGCAAAAAGAGGGGTTTTGCTTTTGTAACATTTGATGACCATGATTCTGTAGACAAGATTGTCATTCAAAAATACCATACTGTGAATGGCCACAACTGTGAAGTAAGGAAAGCGCTCTCTAAGCAAGAGATGGCTGGTGCTTCATCCAGCCAAAGAGGTCGAAGTGGTTCTGGAAACTTTGGTGGTGGTCGTGGAGGTGGTTTTGGTGGGAATGACAACTTTGGTCGCGGAGGAAACTTCAGTGGTCGAGGTGGCTTTGGTGGCAGTCGAGGTGGTGGTGGATATGGTGGCAGTGGGGATGGCTGTAACGGATTTGGTAATGATGGAAGCAACTTTGGAGGTGGCGGAAGCTATAATGATTTTGGCAATTACAACAATCAATCCTCAAATTTTGGACCCATGAAAGGAGGCAATTTTGGAGGCAGAAGCTCTGGCCCTTATGGTGGTGGAGGCCAGTACTTCGCCAAACCACGAAACCAAGGTGGCTATGGTGGTTCCAGCAGCAGCAGCAGCTACGGCAGTGGCAGAAGGTTTTAATTACTGCCAGGAAACAAAGCTTAGCAGGAGAGGAGAGCCAGAGAAGTGACAGGGAAGCTACAGGTTACAACAGATTTGTGAACTCAGCCAAGCACAGTGGTGGCAGGGCCTAGCTGCTACAAAGAAGACATGTTTTAGACAATACTCATGTGTATGGGCAAAAAAAACTCGAGGACTATATTTGTGACTAATTGTATAACAGGTTATTTTAGTTTCTGTTCTGTGGAAAGTGTAAAGCATTCCAACAAAGGGTTTTAATGTAGATTTTTTTTTTGCACCCATGCTGTTGATTGCTAAATGTAATAGTCTGATCATGACGCTGAATAAATGTGTCTTTTTAAAAAAAAAAAAAAAAAAAAAGAAGGCAAACAATAATAATGGGGGGAAATTGGGTATCATACATGAATGGACTTCTGAAGGATCTCTGGTATTAATTTTCCTTTTATTCCATTTTATAAGTTTTAATTGAGGTTGGCAATAAAACAATTTTCTGGAAAATGTGTTACTTTAAATTCTAACCAAAAATACTTGGAAGAAAAATAAAATAAATATTGTAATAAGATCACACATAAACAAACACTTCAAACCCCTAGGATTATATTATGCTTACTTTTCACAAACCAAGACTTTGGATACTCATAAGATTAGCACTGAAGTTTATTGGTTCCCAATTTTTGATACTTGGAGCTAACAGAAACGATGGAGCTAGGTTCACATTTGTAAGTTGCTCAACTTGCCTAGACACATCAGTTATTCAAAGAAGTATTTGTTAAATTAATCAATAAACCTCTGTGAATATATATATATATATATATATATATACACATATATATATTTGTATGCTTATGGACACATATGCATGTACATATATTCATATTGCTAGTGTTTCACATAGCAATAGTTATAAACACATATATACAGTCAGGGGTGTGTGTGTGTGTGTGTGTGTGTTATTGAAATATAGGGCCTGAGTAAGAAATAGTCCAAATCCCTGTCTATGGTATACTCTGTGTCATAGGAGAATAACAGATTTTAGAAGCAAGCACACTTGGCTTTGAACCCTGATTCTACCGTTAACCACTCTTTAACCTTGGGCAATCTCTCTGATGTTTCTAAGTCCCCGTTGTCATCTGTTAGTACACAGTAATGCCACTTTTTCAGATTTTCCAATTTGTTGGCATGAGGATTTCAAATATGAAATATAAAATAATCCAGGTGACCCCAACATTTTAGTGCTATGTGGTCTTAAGTTTTAGATTCACTTCTGAAATATTTCAACATTTCAATAAAGCTATGTGGGGCTTCAGTTCTCAAGTAGGCACCATCTTTCAAGAAGGATATGATGCTTGTGATTCCTTCTATAATGACATTTTTAATGCAATAGATACACGATTATGAGAAGAAAAAGGCAAATACTGAATCTATGGATGAGTATAGCTGAAATAGTTGCACTTCAGAATTTTAATACAGATTATTGTCTTATAGGCTGGATATATATTGTTTGTGTGAAAATTCATAAGTCACTTGCTTGGTTTTTCAGTTACCATACAACCTATTAAGATCAGATATAATTTCCTTTTATTTTTTTAAATGTTCATGAACTAATCAAGTTGTTTTCCTGATACAGTTTAGGTTGCTTCTATTTTCCTGATAGAGTGTAATTCCAGACTTTCTAGCAAATTAAGCTGACTTGGAGAGAAACCAAATGTATATTCAACAAGAAAATAAATCTTAACAAAAATCTAATAAACTCTTAGAATTTTACGAATAAGTAGCAGAAATTTGAAACCAATGAGCACATACCATGATTCTGCATTTACAGAAAATTAGCAATAATGTGATTGAAAAACTGACTCACCACATAAGTGGACAATAACAATATTAATTTTCCAAAGATTTTGTTTATTTATTTGACACGGGGGTGGGGGTGGGGAGGGGTGGGGGAAGCAGGCTCCCTGCTGAGCAGAGATTCCCAATGCGGGGCTTGATCCCAGGTCTCCGAGACCATGACCTGAGCCGAAGGCAGAGGCTTAACCCACTGAGCTGCCCAGGTGCCCCC